TGCCCTGCCACTCCCAGGCATTTTGTTTTTCTGTTTTGAGATAAGATCTTGCCCTGTCAGCCATGCTGGAGTGCAGTGGCTTCATACTGGCTTACTGCAACCTCTGCCTGCTGGGTTCAAGCAGATCTTCTGTCTCTGCCTCCCAAGTAGCTGGGATTACAGGTGTGTTCCAACACGCCTAGGCAATATTTTTATTTTTAGTGGAGACAGGATATTGCCATGTTGACCAAGCTGGTCTCGAACTCCTGACCTCAAGTGATCCATCTGCCTCGCCCTCCCAAAGTGCTGGAATTGCATTCGTTAGCCACTATGCCTGGCTTTTCCTTTTTGAGACAGGGTGTTGTGCTGTTGCCCAGGCTGCAGTGCAGTGGTGCAATCTCGGCTTACTGCAGTGTCCACTTTCTCGGCTTACTGAGCGTCCCGCCTCAGCCTCCCAAGTAGCTGGGACTACAGGTGTGTGCCACCATGCCCGGCTAATTTTTATATTTCTAGTAGAGGCAGGGTTTTGCTATGTCGTCCCGGCTGGTCTTGATCTCCTGGACTCAAGTGATTCAACTGTTTGAGCCTCCCAATGTGCTGGGATTACAGGCATTACCTGCTGTGCCTGGCCTATATTTAACTTCCCGAGGAGATACCAAACTATGTTAGAAATAGACTGTACCATCTTATATTTCACATGAACTATTTAAGGGCTGTAATTTCTCTCCAACCTTGCCAACACTTGTTTTACATTCTTTGGATCTTATCCTTTCTAGTGTGTGTGAAGGAGTACGTCATTGTGGTTTCAGTTGAAATGGCCATAATGATAATGGGTAGGGTTGTGGGTCAGGGTCAGGGTTAGGGTCAGGGTCAGGGTTTAGTGTTAGGGTTAGGGTTTGGGTTTAGGGTTAGGGTTCCAGTTAGGGTTAATGTTAGGGTTAGGGCTTAGGTTTAGGGTTCAGGGTTTGGGTTAGAGTTAAGAGTTAAGGATTAGGGTTAGGGATAGAGGGTTAGAGGGTTCGGGCTAGGGGTTAGGGGTTAGGTGTTAGGGTTTGGGTTGGGATTAGGGGTTAAGGTGAGGGGTAGGTTTTAGGGTTAGGGGTTAGAGTTTGGGGTTAGTGTTACGGCTTAGGTTTAGGGTTAGAGGGTTAGGGTTAGGGTTTATGGTTTGGGTTAGGGTTTAGGGTTAGGGTCAGGGTCAGGGCCTGCGTTAGGTGTTAGGGTTGGGATTAGGGTTGGGTTTAGGGTTTAGGGTTAGGTTTTGGTTTGGAGTTTGTGGTTAGAGTCTGGGTCATGGGGTTAAGGTTATGATATGGGGGTTAGGGTTTAGGGTTAGGTTAGAGTTAGGGTTAGGGTTAGGATTGGATTTAGGGGTTAGGTAACGGTTAGGTTTAGGTTTTAAGGTTAGGTATGGGGTTAGGAATTGGAGCTTATGGTTTTGGGTTAGGGTTAGAGTTTAGGGGTTAATGTTAGTTTTGGGGTTGTGGGTAGTGTTTAGGGTTAGGGTTTAGGGTTGAGGTTGGGTTGGGGTTGGGGTCAGGTCAGTGTTAGGGTTAGGTTTTAGGGGTTAGAGTTCAGGGATGGGGTTGGGATTAGGGTTTAGGCTTTATGGTTTATAAGCTCTAGGAAGCCCCAGAAGAACCTGGAATGCAGCTTGTTTATATAATTTTAGGGAGATAGGATATATCAATCAAATGTAATTAAGGTATATATTGGTTCGGTCTAGAAAGGTGCAACAACCCAGTGGGTTAGGGTGAAGAGGGGCTTTCAGGTTATTGGTAGGTTAAAAATTTTTCTGATTGGTAATTGGTTGAAAGAGTTATCAATAGAAAGGAGCATCTGGGTTATGGTAAGGGGTTATGGAGACTACAGTTTTATGCAGATGAAGCCTCCAGGTAGCAGGCTTCAGAGAGAATAGATTGTAAATATTTTTTACCACATCGAAAGTCTGTGTTGATGTTAAATGTTGATTGGCTTCTCCTGAATTTCAAAAGGGAGGAGGGAATAATGAGCCATGTCTGACCACCTCTTTTCCATGACGGCCTGAACGAGTCTTCCAGGTTAACTGGTGTGCCCTGGTGGAGAGAAGGGAGTCTATACAGATGGCTGGAGGGAAGGGCCTTTGAATTTTATTTTTGGTTTGCAAGTGCTATTCTAGTCACTTCATGCTCTCAAGATGTGTTATCACCATTAATGTTAAGTTTGATTATGTAGCCGAGATAGTATTTTCAGGTTTCTCTCTGTGAAGTTACTTTTTTCCCATGTCTATATTATATGTATGCTTTTGGAGGAAGTCACCATGCAGAGCCTACACCTAAGGAGTGGGGAGTTAGCCGTATGTCCTTAATGACTGAATGTCTGTATCAGGTATTTGGAATTCTTCTGTATAAGAAAATTCTATTCAGCCCATCTGTGTATCTGTTTTATTATTTGTGTATACTGGTATGGACACTCAGATAGTGACTTTAATCTTGTGGTTGTTATCCATTCTACAGTATTTTGTTTTTCTTTGTTTATACCTGTGGCCACTGGGAGCTCTTTCCACTAGCTCCTTTGACATAATTTAATGTTTTTTTAAATTTCTTGTTGTTAGTTCAAAATATCCTGACTCAGGTATTTTCTGTTCTAGGGTTAGTTTCAGCCATTTCTTCAAAGAGCCCTGATTTTCTTTGTTAGAGAATGGTATTAAAAACATATCCAGCCACTAAATGTGGTCATTGTGTCATGACCCTCACAGCCAACAGTGCAAAGAAATATATGAATAGATTCTAACTTACATGTACCCATTTAATTATAAAGGTTTCCATGTGGAACCATCTGTGTATATATTAAGCTAGATGGGAGTTTATGCTTGTCTTCAATCAATAGACTCATCCATTGTCACAGAGCTCATTTTAGGATTCCCCCATTTTGTATCTGTAACATCTACTCAACAGTGAGGAACCTGGCTCCCACTATCTGCCATTTATTGCATCCCCTGTTCCACTAGGAGCAAGGAATTCACTCCTGATCCAGATTCCTGGTTGCAACTTAATAAGAAATATATGTTTGGTCTTTGTCTCCAGTTCCTGGCACAGAGCTCCTAAAACTTGTATAATTTCCTGAACAATAGTAGTACTAGGTGCATCTTATGTTCTAATTGGTCTCTGGCCCTGGTTCCTGATGCAGAGCTCCTAAATCCCTTGGAATCTTCTGGGTAGTAGGAATGTCTTCTGTTCCAGTAAGGACCCTAATAAGGTCTAATAAGTTGTTACCGTGGAATTAGACAACCATTTCCATGAGGATCTAGAACCACAGGGTCTATCTGCTGTGAGAGCAGGTGTCACCAACACAGTCAGCACTCGGTCACAGGTTCCATTGCTTAGAACAAGGAGAGGTCTTCTCCTGCACTTGGCTTCCCAGAGTGGTGGGATTACAGGCATGAGCCACTGTACCTGGCCTGATCGCCAAAAAATGGGTTTATGCCTGAGAGAGGGTACCCCCAGATGGATAACATTTGCATTTTTTTCATCTAATGTGTGGACCTCTTCACAAACACCTTCAGAACATGCAGGCTCATCCACCTGTCCACATACAAGCAATCATATCAGTTCCCTTTTTTATACAAAGCAATTTTGTTTCTCTTCTTTTGCTATCTCTAGTCCTTTTAGCATGATGAACACAAGAAATGGTGGCGTACCTAAGTCATCTCTATGTTTCTTATTTATTTATTCTTTTGAGAAAGAGTCTCACTCTGTCACCCAGGCTGTAGTGCAATGGTGCAATCACGGCTCACTGCAACCTCTGCCTCCTGGGTTCAATTGATTCTCCTGCCTCAGCCTCCCATGTAGCTGGGACTACAGGCATGCACAACCATGCCCAGCTAATTTTTTTGAGTTTTTTATTAGAGATGAGGTTTCACCATGTTGGCCAGGCTGGTTTTGAACTGCTGACTTCAGGTGATCTGCCCACCTTGGCCTGTTAAAATGCTGAGATTACAGACGTGAGCCACCACGCTCAGCTTTATTGATTGATTTATTGAGATAGAGTTATCATTCTGTCACCTAGGCTGGAGTGCAGTGATGTGATGTCAGCTTACTCTGTCCTCAAACTCCTGGACTCAAATGATCCTGCCAGCCTCCTGAGTAGCTGGGACTACAGGAATGGGCCGTCACGTCAGGCTAATTTTTTTTTGTAGAGACAAGAGTCTTGCTATGTTGCTCAGGTCTTTAACTCCTGGCCCTAAGTGATTTTCTGGCACTCTGTACTTGGCTTCCTGAACTTCCCAAAGTGCTGGGATTACAGGCATGAGCCACTGCACCTGGCCTAATGTGTGTGTGTGTGTGTGTGTGTGTGTGTGTGTGTGTGTGTGTGTGTTCAAGACAAAGTCTTGCTCTTGTCACTCAAGGTAGAGTGCAGTGGTGCCATCTCTGTTTACTGCAACCTCTGACTGCTGGGTTCAGGCAATTCTCCTGCCTCAGCCTCCCAAGTAGCTGGAATTACAGGTACCTACCACCATGCCTGACTAATTTTTGTATTTTTAGTAGAGACGGGATTTCACCATGTTGGCCAGGCTGGTCTCAAACTCTTGACCTCAGGCGATCCACCTGCCTCGGCCTCTCAGTGTTGGGATTACAGGCATGAGCCACTGCGCCCAGCCCCTAATAACTGTTTTATGAACTGGTCTCTTTCTTCCCCAAGATGGGTTTGTGACTGGGAGAGGGTGCCCCCAGGTGGACAACATTTGAAATTCTTCCATATAATGGCTTACTAACCTTATTGGAAAAGCCACCATCCTCTTCCCGGATCTTGTCTGTGGAATGGCAGCTCATTGGTAGGAGCATGGAGGTGGGAGATCACCACCATCAAGGTCACCACTGGGATGCATTGTTTCCCACGAACTGGAAAGCTTTGTCCTCATACCTTACACATGCAGAACTTGGTAGACAGGAATCTGTTGCCACACATCTTGAGACACTGAAACCCAAAGCCCGAGTTCTTTGCTCTTCTGGCTGGGTGACTTGCGACTTTGGTTTCCCTAGGCCCGGCAGTCCTTTGGCCGTCCGGTCGCTGCCTTCTGCCTGGAAGAAGTTGAGCCTGGTGCAGTGGAGTCAGTCCCTCTGGATGCTGTGAGTGCTGAGTCTGGCAGGAGGGGTGTTGGAGGGATGGGGGTGTGGGGGCCACCCTGGCCCATAATGGCAAGCCAGCATCAGCGCTGGGGGCAGATGGGGGCTGCAGGAAGTGGACTGGCACGTGCAGACCACATTATCTGCGTGTCACTTGGAAACAGACATTGTGCTGCTGTTTCTGTTAGCCGTTTAGCAAGCACTCACTGAGCACCCACTTTATGCCATCCTGGGCAACAGCAGGAAACATGCTAACACAGTGGTCTGCAGGTTTTTGGCACCAGAGACTGGCTTTGTGGAAGACAGCTTTTCTGTGGACCTGGGTGGGGTGCGTGGTTTTGCGACGATTGAAACACATTTCATTTATTGTACATTTATTATTACTACACTGTAATATGTAATGAAATAATGATTTCAGATTGTCTTCCTGCACTGGACGGTCCCATCTGGGGGTGATGGGAGACAGTGACAGATCATCAGACATTAGATACTCATAGGGAGCATGCAGCCCAGATCCTTCACATGTGCAGTTCACAGTAGGGTTCATGCTCTTGTGAATCTGATGCCGCTGCTGATCTGACAGGAGATGGAGAGTGGAGATCAAACAGTGATGCGGGTGATGGGGAGTGGCTATAAACACAAGTGACACAGTGCTTGCCTGTCCTCCGCTCACCTCCTGCTATATGGTCCAGTTCCTTAGAGGCTGCAGAATGTTACCAGTCTGTGAGCTGGGGACTGGGGACTCCTGCTCTAACAGACCAGGTGCTTGTCCTCATGCAGAAAGTCCAAGATAAGCATGGCAACGTTTTGGTCAAGCTATAAAACAGCATCATTGCAAGCCAGGCGCGGTGGCTCATTCCTGTAATCCCAGCACTTTGGGAGGCTGAGGTGGGTGGATCATGAGGTCAGGAGTTTGAGATCAGCCTGGCCAGCATGGTGAAACTCCATCTCTCCTAAAATACAAGTTTTAGCCAGGCGTGGTAGCATGCGCCTGTAATTCCAGCTACTCAGGAGGCTGAAGCAGGAAAAGCACTTGAACCCGGGAGGTGGAGGTTGCAGTAAGCCAAGATCATGCCACTGCATTCCAGCCTGGGAGAGCAAGATTCCATCTCAGAGAAAAAAAAAAAGAAAGGAAAAAAGAAAATAGCGTCACTACAAGCATCATTGCACCATGAGACTCCCCAGACTCATGTTACCTGGGCTTGCCCCTCCACCCCATCCTTTTGTCACCCCATGGACCAAGCCACCCTGCCCCTTGTTGTACTGAAGAACCTGGGCAAACTGTGTACCTGAAAAACACTCACCTAGTGGTAAAAACCTAGCCGATGGCATTGGACTGCCCAAGTCCAAACCCCAGCCCCAGCACTGACTAGCTGGGTGATCCTGACAAGTAGATCATCTCTCTCAGCCTCCGTGTTTCCATCTGCAAAATGGGCCTATCAGTCATCACAGCAGCTGATTGTGAGAATGGATTTAATGGATCTGGGCTGAGCCATGAGAGCTTTGATTTTAGAAAATCTTTCAGGAGAGCCTATGTGTTAAGGATCTAGAACCACTAATCTAGAACCACTAATCTAATTACACTTGTCACAGTGAAATATTTATTATTGATTATAATAATTATAGTTACATAGTTAAAAGTAAATATATAACATGTATTCTAATAAGTATTTACTATTATTTGAGATGGAATCTTGCTCTGTCATTCAGGCTGGAGTGCAGTGAGTGGCGCAATCTCGGCTCACTGCAACCTCCCAGGTTCAAGCAATTCTCCTGCCTTAGCCTCTCTAGTAGCTGTGATTACAGACGCCCGCCACCACATCTGGCTAATTTTTATACTTTTTGGTAGAGATGAGATTTTGCCATGTTGGCTAGGCTGGTCTGAAACTTCTGACCTCAAGTGATCCATACACCTCAGCTTCCCAATGTGCTGGGATTACAGGCGTGAGACACTGCACCCAGCCACAGTGAAATTAATAACACCCTTTTCACTCTCTGGGAAGGCTGGGATTAGATGATAATTTTTATCAGAAGGTCGCTGTTTCATAAGTGACTAGATTGTGCGTATTTTAGGCTCGTGGACCACATAGTTTCTGTCACAACTGCTCAAAACATGAAACAGCAATTAATGGATTTGGCTGTGTTCCAACAAAACTTTATTGGTAAGAGTAGGCAGTAGGCAGGATTTGGTTTCTGGGCCATGATTTGCCTTCCCCTGGATTGTTAGCCATGGGACATGGAAAGAACAAGAGCCCTGCAGGGTCACACACAAGCCAGCGAGTAGCAGGACGGTTTGTTCAGTGGGAGAGATTTCCTGCTGCAGTTTCTGCCCCTGGCCTCTCCGGTGCAGAGGCTGGCCAGGTTAGGAGGCTCCTGTAACTGGCCTCTTGTGCCTCGCAGCTGCCAGGAAGGATCGTATCACGATACACAGTGCCACCTTCGCCAGGTTCCAGGAAAGCCCTTCCTGCCTCCGCAGGTACAGAATGACACCCATGGAAACCAGCCTCATGATTTTAGGGAAAACCTGCGTGGGGCTCCTGCTGCCTTCTACCTGAGAGGTGGTCTGGGTTTCCAGCCTGGGATGGGAGGGTGGGTTACGTTGGGTTGGGGCTCTTCCAGGAAGGTTCTCAAGTTGCTCCTGTACCTCCTAGAGGTGGGGACCAGGGCATCTGAGTGTCCTCCATCAGGGGGAGACACCACTCTGCTCCCAGGCTGGCCAAGACATTGCCAAGGTGGGGCTGGCTGAGGAGCTGCACGGTTCAGCCTTGTCAGCTTTGCTCACTTCTGTGCCACCTTTATCAGTCCTAGATCATTATTACCTATAGCCCCCAACTCTGGCTTAGTCTTTGTGGCCAAAAATCTTAGCCAGCCCTGAAACTCCATAAGAAGGGAGAGAATATGTCCTGGGCAGTATTTGTATTGGTTGTCATTCACTCACATCATTGATAGAGTGCTTGCTATGGGCCATGCTCTGTTCTAGGTACTGGGGATCAGGTGAAAGAAACAGACAAGGGCCCTGCTCTCTTGGGGTGACATGCTGCTAGAGGCGAGGCCCAAACAGGAAGCCAGGGCAGGGGGACAGAGCATGATGGTATGCCTAGTGAGGGAAGGCTTGGCATTCAGGCTGAGATCATAAGGAAAGATAGTGAACCATGAAGGTTTTTTTTTTTTTTTCTTTTGGAATACAGAGGCTTGCTCTGTTGCCCAGGCTAGGGTGCAATGGTACGATCTCCGCTCACTGCAACTTCCACCTCCTGGGTTCAAGCGATTCTCCTGCCTCGGTCTCCCGAGTAGCTGGGATTACAGGCATGCACCACCACACCCACCTAATTTTTGTATTTTTAGTAGAGGCGGGGTTTCACTATGTTGGCCATGCTGGTCTCCAACTCCCAACCTCAAGTGATCCTCCACCTGCCTCAGCTCTAAAAGGACTGGGATTACAGGCATAAGCCATTGTGCCTGGCCTGGGGGAAGAGCCTTCTAAGCAGTGGGAATGGCATATGCAAAGGTCCTGGGTCAGGAGTGTCCCTGGACTTGGGTTTTCTAACCTTAGCATGGTTGATATTTTGAGCTGAAACTTTATTGTTGGGTTCTGTCCTGTGCATCGTGGGATGTTTAGCTGACCCCGTCTCTACCCATTAGATGCCAGCAGCACCTCGTACCAGTTGTGCCATCCAAAGATATCTCTAGATCTTGCCAAATCACTCTTGGGGGATGCAGTCACCCCCAGTTGAGAACCACTGACTTACTGTGTTCCAGAAACAGCAAGGAGGTCAGCGTGGCCAAGAAAGAGCAGATGAGGCACAGAGTGGAAGAAGCCGGGATGTCATTCATGATCATCAGGGCTTAGGCTTTGACCGTGAGTGAAATGGGAGTGCTGATGGGTTTAGCTAGGAAGTGTTAAAACCTGAATTGGGTTTTTTGTTTGTTTGTTTGAGATGGAGTCTCGCTCTGTTCCAGGCTGGAGTGAAGTGGCTTGATCCTCACTGTAACCTCCACCTACCGGTTCAAGCAGTTTTCCTGCCTCAGCCTCTGAAGTAGCTGGGACTACAGGCATGTGCCACCACACCCAGCTAATTTTTGTATTTTTAGTAGAGATGAAGTTTCTCTGTATTGGTCAGGCTGGTCTAGGACTCACAGCCTCAGGTGATCCGCTCAGCACGGCCTCCCAAAGTACTGGGATTACAGGCTTGAGCCACTGCTGACTTGGGTTTTAACAAATCCCTCTGGTCACAGGGTGGAGGATGGGTTGTGGGACATGGACAGGAGTGGGGCGGGACCAAGAGCAGGGGCAGGGAGGGGAGGAAAGAGCCTATTTATTGCAGGAGCCAAGGCAGGAGGCCAGGCTGGTGAAACCCTCAGGCTACTGCCAACTCTGGGTGGACATGCATGCATGTTCATGGTGTGCGTGTGTGCACACATGCATGCATATGAGCATGGATTGCTTGGGTATGCACATGCACTTGTGTGTGTGGATGTGTGCCCACATTGTGTTGCTGTGCACGCTAGCATGCTTGTGAGTGTGCAAATGTGCATGCATGTGTGCAGGCTTTGTGTGTGTGCGTGTGCACATGCACAGATATGCACAGGATGGTTGCTCAAATAGCCATACAAGGACTGGGAAAAGAACAGCCTCACAGGTGCTCTTAGACTCCCAGAGCAAGAAAGCTCGGCTCCATCTGGGGCTCACCCTTCCTCAAAGATGCGGGCTGGGCCCTAACCAAGGTCATGTCTCCTTTCTTTCATTGAAAGAATAAACCTCACCGTGCCCCGGAGCTGTTTCCTGGCTGTAGTTGGTCTAGTGGTTACAGGGAAGTCCTCCCTGCTGTCCGTCCTGTTTGGGGAGCTGTCAGAGGTGGAGGGGTTTGTGAGCATGAAGGTGATGCCACCCGCTGCCTGTCTGCTAGGATATCCCCATCATCCTGAAAGTCCCCTTTCCTCTGTGCCTTTCCACCCCTCCCCATCGTAGTCAAGTTCACTTTCATTCATTCTCTCCACCACCCACCCACGACCGAGAGCCGAGCTCCCACTACTCCTCAAAACCTGTCATACCTCTGTCCCCATCATCCTTCTGTGACCAAAGTTAAGTTGTGTTTTAATTTTCAGTGGCCTACACGTTCCAGGAGGCCTGGTGGATGCTGAACACCTCTGTGGTGGAGAATGTGTGCCTTGGGCAGGAGCTGGACCCAGCCTGGCAAGGGAGAATCCTAGAGGCCTGTGCCCTGTGGGCAGATGTGGACACCATCCCTGCCGGAGTCCACACTTCATTTGCAGAGCAGGTGAGTCTCAGGGTCTTTTGCGTCAGGGAGGCATTGTAGTTGGGGGTCATTTGGGTCCCTGATTTATCATGGGCAGTATGATGGAGAAATGCAGGAAGTGGTCAGGAAAGTGGGGGAGAAGAAGGGCTCAGCTCAGGGTCAAGCACATACTGGGTGCTCAATAAATAATCAATAAATAGAAATGGACACAGAGAGGCAAGGAGTTGTGGTAGGGACTGGCAGTGAGGGGCTGTCTGACAACTGAGAGTGAGAAGACTAGACTGTCTTACTCTGCCCTGCCTTGCTGGGTGACATTGATCTAACTGCTCTGGGCCTCACCAAAGGGTCTGGACAGAGATGTCCAAAACACAGGATATATGCATCTGGAGCTATGGATTGGGCAGGAGCTGGCAAACTGACCCCCAGGCCAAATCCAGCCCTCCACTTGTGTGGGGTTTTTTTTTTGTTTTTTTTTTTTTTTTTGAGATGGAGTCTCACTCTGTTGCACAGACTGGAGTGTAGTGATGCAGTCTTGGCTCACTGCAACCTCCCCCTCCCACATTCAATAAACTCTCCAGCTTCAGCCTCCTGAGTCGCTGGTATTATAGGCACATACCACCACAGCTGACTAATTTTTGTATTTTTAGTAGAGACAGTATTTCACCATGTTGGCCGGGCTGGTCTCGAACTCCTGACCTCAGGTCATCTCCCCATTTCCCTCAGAGTCAAAGCCCAAGTCGTGACGATCCCTGGCAAGGTCCCTGTCACCTTGGTTTGGTATCCATCATCCCCATCTCCCATTGACATCTCCTGGTTTCACTCCAGCCTCCAGAGTCTCTGTGATGTTCCCTGATCCCCTGCAGCACACTCTATCCCCAGGGCCTTTGCACCTGCTGTTCCCAGTGTTGGAAATCTCTCTCCAGGAGTCCCCAGGGCTCATCCCTCACTTCTGTCACATTCACAGAGAAGCCTTCCCTAATTACCTTATCCTCCACCACCACCATCACCACCACCACCGCAACCCTGCTCATGCCAGTGCGCCTTACACTGACACCTGCTTTTCCTTTCCCTTTCCCCTTCCCCTCCCCCTTTTCTCCTTTCCCTTTTTTTTCTTGAGACAGTGTTACTGTGTTCCCCAGACTGGAGTGCAGTTGCGCAGTCTCGGCTCATTGCACTCCACCTCCCAAGCTCCCACCTCCCAAGTTCAAGCAGTTCTCCCACCTCAGCCTCCTGAGTAGCTAGGATTACAGGCAGGTGTCACCACGCCTGGCTCTTTTGTTGTTGCTCTTTTAGTGAAAATGGTGAGTATCTGGACCATGTTGTGTGACAGGACTCTCTTGACCTTGCAGAAACAGAACCTGGGACCAGCGCAAGGACCCTCGAGACTCCTCTGCAGGCAGGAGGCCCGGTTAAGACCTGAGAGGTGAGTCCACCATGGTGCCACACTCAGAAAGGCACAGGCTGAAGCTGGTGTAGCTGAAGGGACCACCTGCATCTCAGGCAGTTAGGGGGCAACCAACAACATTACAGATGGGGCACCTGCTGAAGTTCCTCCATTGTGCCCTGCTGAGGGATAATTCACCAAAATTGGTCCAGTTGGTCAAGATGATTAGGTCCCCATAGGGCCATTTCATGGGACGAACAAATGCCTTCCAGCATGATGGATGTCTTCAAGGGGGCTGAGCCAGCTCACTGGAGTTGTCTCAATGCTGCAGTAGGGCAGGGCTGGTTCCAAAGAAAGATCCTCCTCATAGTTGTTAACCACCGTGCCAGGCATGGTCAGGCTTTTTAACAGGTGGGTTATGCACAGGGCTTGGGTCTGTACAGACCAGCATCACTTATTGGCCAGAATACATGGGCAAGAGGCCAGGAGGAGGCCTGCGGTCTCCTCTTCTCTCAGCTCCCTCCAGCCAGGACACAGCTGAGCTCACTGCAGTAGAGGGACCTGCTGCCTGCCACTCTCCCCTGGTAATGAGAAGGGTCTTAGGAAGCAGAACCACAGGCCACTGCTACCAGGTGGTTCAAGCTTAAGTACCTTCAATGCAGGAGTGCAGGGTGGCAGTGATCTGAGGGGCCTCAGTCCGTGGGGATCACTGGAGCTGATCCCCATCCCAGCTAGCCACCCTAAGGGCACTACTCAGTCACACACTGACCAATCCCACTGTCTTCACAGTGCACGAGAATCTGAAGTAAGATCAGATGGATAGGTAGTCATGTTCAAAGAAAACCTTTAGGTACCTTAAGGCTGGGTATGGTGGCTCATGCCTGTAATCCCAGCACTGTGGGAGGGAGAGGCAGGTGAATCACCTGAGGTCAGGAGTTTGAGACCAGCCTGGCCAACATGACCAAACACTGTCTCTACTAAAAATACAAAAATTATCTAGACATGGTGTTGTACACCTGTAGTCCCAGCCACTCAGGAGGCTGAGGCACGAGAATTGCTTGAACTTGAGAGGTGGAGGTTGCAGTGAGCAGAGATCGTGCCACTGCACTCTGGCCTGGGTGACAGAGCAATATTCCATCTCAAAAAATAACCTCTGTCAAATTTAATGTGTCTAAAGTTTTGTTTCGTTGTGTTTTTCTCTGAGACAGAATCTCTCTGTGCCCCTTAGGCCGGAGTGCAGTGGGACGATATTGGCTTACTGCAACCTCTGCCTTCTGGGTTCAACAGATTCTTGTGCCTCAGCCTTCCAAGTAACTGGAACTACAGGTGTGTGCAACCAGGCTCAGCTAGTTTTTGTATTTTTTGTAGAGACAGGGTTTTCCCATGTTGACCAGGCTGGTCTCAAACTCCTGACCTCAGGGGATCCGCCTGCTTCGGCCTCCCAAAGGGCTGGGATTACAGGCATGAGTCACGGCACTTGGCTGACAGAGGTTGAGTAAAGAATAATCCACACATCATGCAGCCGCTGAACCAGAATATGTTCGGAGAGGCTCTAGTACAGCCACATGGTCAAGGATGAATGGACAGAAAAAGGAAGGTGAATGACAGAAAACAGAACTGAGGTACATAAACAGCCAGATTGGTAGGCCAAACTTAAAATAGGTAAGGAGGCAGCTTTAGGCTAAACTTCATAGCAGGTAGGTAGACAAGTATATATAGATACTCAGATATGTAGATGAATAGATAAATGGATGGATGGATAGATATTACCATTATTTTTACAGCTGAGGAAACCAAGGTACAGAGGTTAAGTCAGCTCACTCATCCACAGATAAGACATTCAAAAAGTCTTCAGCATCAGAATTGTGCATAATTTATATTGTCAGTTGGACTGACAAATCTGATGGTAAATGGTAGGGGCAAAACAACTGCACCAAAGCTTAAGCCAAAATGAAAATTCTGACAACAGGATGGGTTTAGCAGCTTATGCATGTAATCCCAGCACTTTGGGAGGCTGAGGGGGCAGATTGCTTGAGCTCAGGAGTTTGAGAACAACCTGGGCAACATAGCACAACCCTGTCTCAAAAAAGAAAAAAATAAAATTTTGAGAACAAGAGTTCCAATGGTGGGCAAATTAAGTTCATCCTGTGAAATGGCATCAGAAGAATGGGCTTGCTTGACTCTGGGATAATAGATGGCATTTAGCTGGGTACCACACAGGGAGAAGGGAAGTGTGATATCAGGTCAGTATTCTGTTGAATGAATGAATGACTAGAGAGTATACCCTGAACTCAGTGGCTATCAGTGGGCCTGAGGGTTGGGCACATACACCCCAACCATTGGGAGAGACACTGACTTCATTTCCTCTAAACAACAGGTCCGTCAAGTCAATCCTTGAAAAGGACCACACCACTTCATTAACCCAGATGGAGGTTCCTCTAGATGACCACGACAGGACAGCATGGCCAACAGGAAAGGACAGCATGCAATATGGCAGGGTAAGCACCGGCTCGGCCCACCCACTGCTGCCACCCCCAGCTGCCCAAGTCTTCCCACCAGATGTAGCAGTTGGCAGTGGGGCATTGGTGATACTCACCTTTCTTGAGCACCTACTATGTGCCAGTAGAATTCTAGACCTTCATTTTCTTAATCCTCACAACCACTCTAAAAATAGATTTTAGACATACATAAAAAGTCTTTTAAAATTTATTTTTGAGAGAGTGGCTCACTTACCCAGCCTGGATTGCTGCTCACTCGCAGCCAAGTTAAAAGACTTCTCTGTCCTCATAGCTAGCCTGGGACTTAAGTCTAGGCCAGTCTAACTCTGAAGCTTGTAGTGTTTCTCCTTTTGTATACTGCTACGTACCTCCACCCTACTTATCCATCCCATCATCCACCTAGATGTTCATCCACCCACCCACCCATCCATCCCTCCCACTCATTTATCTATTCATACCATCCATTCACCCACCACCATCTATCTATCCCACTGACTCATTTATCCATCCTCCCACCTGCTCCTTTATCCAACCCATCCATCTAACCCAGCTAACAATACATACCAACCATCCCCTCACCTACACATCTGTTTAGCTGTTCATCCATTCATTGCTCTTTCCATCCATTCATCCACATACCTACCTACCCACCCACTTACTCATTTATTCATCCACCCACCCACTCATTCATCCAGCAAACACATACATAATGTCCACTATGTGCCAGGCTAAGTCTGGCGGAGATTGGATACTAGTGAGGATAGACAGAGATTAGGCTAATAAGCAGGCGATATCTGATAATGAGTGCTATAAAGAAAGTAAGAATGGGCCAGGTGCAGTGGCTCACGCCTGTAATCCCAGCACTTTGGGAGGCCGAGGCTGGTGGATCATGCAGTCAGCATTTTGAGACCAACCTGGCCAATATAGCGAAACTTTGTCTCGACTAAAATTACAAAAAAAAATTAGCTGGGCATATTGGTGGGTGCCTGTAATCCTAGCTACTCAGGAGGCTGAGGCAGGAGAATCGTTTGAACCCAGGAGGTGAAGGTTGCAGTGAGCCAAGATTGTGCCACTGTACTCCAGCCTGTGTGATAGTGTGAGACTCCATCTCAAAAAAAAAAAAAGAAAATGAGAATGATCAGGAGCAGTGGCTCACGCCTGTAATCCCAACACTTTGGGAGGCTGAGGCAGGAGGATTGCTTGAGGCCAAGAGCTGAAGGGTACAGTGAACTATGATCATGCCACTGCATTCTAACTTGGGTGACAGAGTCAGACCCTGCCTCTTAATGGAGACCAACTGAGGGTCACAGTTGGTATAGATAGGATGCTCTGAGAAGTGGCATGTGAGCTTCCCCAAAGAATGTGTGAAGGAACTAATCATACAAAGAGCAAGAGAAAGAGTACTCCAGGCAGAGGAAGCAGCAGGCACAATGGCTCCAAAGTGGTAAGTGGTTTAGGATGCCAGAGAAAGGGGTTCCGTGAGGCTGGCAGGCAATGATTGGGGGCAAGATAAGAATCTTGGAATTTCAGTTTTTTTGTTTTGAGATGCAGCTTTACTCTTTTCACCCAGGCTGCAGTGCAGTGGTGCAATCTTGGCTCGCTGCAACCTCTGATCTCAAATTCAGGCGATTCTCCTGCCTCAGCCTCCCAAGTAGCTGGGATTATAGGCACCCGCCACCACGCCTGGCTGATTTTTGTATTTTTAGTAGAGATGGGGTTTCACCATGTTGGTCCATGGTGGCCTCAAACTCCTGACCTTAGGTGATCCACCCACGTCAGCCTTCCAAAGTGCTGGGATTGCAGGTTTGAGTCACCTGACTGGCTGGAATTTCCTCTAAGAGCAAGATAGCCCTCGACAGGCAAGTGATAAGATAGGATTAGACTGGTGTTTTCAACAGTCCTGTCTGGCCGCAGCTGTGCATGGAACTTCAGATTTGTAGGAGCAGCATTCTAAACCAGTGGCTGAACCTCTGTGCCTCAGTTTCCTTATCTGTGAAATGGAGGTTTTAGGAGCATAGATGCATGCCTGACCCATGGTGGGTGTTCAAGAAAACCCTTCTGGATGGGTGTGGTGGCTCACACCTGTAATCCAAGCGTTTGGGGAGGCCAGGGAGGGAGGATTGCTTGAGGCCAGGAGTTTGAGATCAGCCTGGGCAACATAGCGAGACTCCGTCTCTTTAAAAATATGAAAATTAACAAGGCATGGTGGTATAAAACCATAGTCCCAGCTGTTTGGGAGGCTGAGGTGGGGAAGATTACTTGAGTCTAGGAGTTCAAGGCTGCAGTGAGCCATGGTTGTGACCGTGTACTCCAGCCTGGGTGACATGGGCAATGAAGCAAGACCCTGTCCTAAAAAAGAAATAAATAATGCTGGGTGCAGTGGCTAATGCCTGTAATCCGAGCACTTTGGGAGGTTGATGGGTGCGGATCATGTGGTCAGGAGATCAAGACCATTCTGGCTAACACAGTGAAACCCTGTTTCTACTAAAAATACAAATAAGTAGCCAGGTGTGATCGCATGTGCCTGCAGTCCCAGCTACTTGGGAGGCAGAGGCAGGACAATTGCTTGAGCCTGAGGGGTGAAGGTTGCAGCTGAGATTGCACCACTGCACTCCAGCCTGGGTGACAGAGACCCTGCCTCAAAAACAAAAAAAGGCCTCATAGCCATACCTCCCTATCCAGCTGTGGGGCCACCACTCAGGTACCTTGTTTTGGCCAATGGGACACCAGCCAACATAAGGCCAGGCAAAAGAATATTGCAAGATGCACATGGATGTTTGTATGCTCTTGTGCCCCTGTCATGGCCATGACAGCATGCCCAAGCTGGTCTGTCAGACAGTGAGGAACACACACGTACCCTTCTTGCCCCACCTGAGGCCAAGTAGATCAGCTGATGGCCAGCTGATCCTGAAACATGATGTGAGCCCAACCAAGATCAGCAGAGCAACCTGCCTGACTGCCCTCACCAGGGAGCAAAGATCACTGCTTTGTTGTTGAACTTGTGGTTGGTTGTCATGGAGACAGATAAGCAAACCAGAACCAGGCACTAACAATACCAAAGTAGGACGCCAGAGGTTCCCCTGCTGCGCTAGGCATTAATGCTGTAGTTGCTGGGTCATGAACAGATCTCCGGTATCCTGGGAGAAGGACCAAGACAGCTGGAGACTTGGGGGGCTCAGAGCAGTGCTAGTGACCAACTGGTACAGAAGCCTTTCTATAGCTTAACAACTGACAGCCACTGTCAACTAAATGGGGCTGGTGTGTATAAAAGGAAATGCATTGTCCATACTGATTATTACACCTCATGGTACAAAGAACCTGGATTAAGACTCATTTTACAGATACAGAAACTGAGGCTCCAAAAGGTGAAGGGACTAATGGGTCATCTGCAGCACAACTGGGACTCACATCCAGGTCTGACACATCTGGACAGAATCTTCAAACACCCCCACCCAGGTGGCACCTAGGCGACCTTATCTGGTGAACATCAGTCTACCCCCGCCTACCTGAGGTTCTCTCCACCTTCTGGGCACTCGTGGTCCAGCTTATCAGGAAGGGCTGACATGAAGTCCTTCAGGTGAGCCAGCTCCAGGGACATCCAGACTTCATCAAGTACTAGCTGAACGGGTCCTGGTTTATGCACAAGGAACCTGAAAACACAACAGGCTCCTGTTCAGAGAGGAGAGCGTGGCGGCATGTGATGCCTACGTCACAATGTCATGGACAGAGAAGAGGTGAGACGTAAAGACTCCGGCCAGGGCTGGTGACGGTGGGGTTTCAGAACTCCTTGGAATCGCTGTTTCTGGTGATGTTATTAACAAGAAAAAGGCCAGATACAGTGGCTCATGACTAATCCCAGCACTTTGGGAGGCCGAGGTGGGCACTTCACTTTAGGTCAGAAGTTAGAGACCAGCCTCGCCAACATGGCGAAACCCAGTCTCTACTAAAAATAGAAAAATTAGCTGGGTGTGGTGCCATATACTTCTAGTCACAGCTACTTGGGAGGCTGAGGCAGGAGAATCACTTGAATACAGGAGGCGGAGGTTGCAGTGAGCAGAAATCAGCCCACGGCACTCCAGTCTGGGTGACAGAGCGAGACTGTCCCCTTGCCAAAATAAATTCCTTAATAACGGAAAAAAAAGTCTGGAAAATCTTAGTGTGGCAGAATAAGACAGATTTCCTTCCCATACAACTTCCTAGAGCCTTCAATATGCATGTGGGTTGAGAAACTTCCAGAAGTGAGAGCTAAATCCTAATGGTAAAGTCCTGTGGATTTCTGTCCTCCAACTGCAAAAGAGAATCTTCTGTGAAACTTTAGGGAAGATTACACTAGAAGGCAACAAATTAAGGAATCCACCTGCAGGGATTGATCTAGAAAATCCTTATTTTGGCCAGGCATGTTGGCTTACCCCTGTAACCCCAGCACTGTGGGAGGCTGAGGCAGGCAGATCACTTGAGGTCAGCAGTTTGAGAACCAGCCTGCGTAACATGGTGAAACCCTGTCTCTACTACAAACACAACACTAGCCAGGCATGGTGGTCTGCACGTGTAATCCCAGCTACTTGGGAGGCTTAGGCCCGAAAATCACTTGAACCCAGGAGGCAGAGATTGCAGTGAGCCGAGATCGCACCACTTCACTCCATCCTGGGAGACAGAGTGAGACTCTGTCTCAAAAAAAAAAAAAAAAAAAAAATCCTTTTTTATTACCAAATACTGTGTGTTCTCACTTTTAAGTGGAAACTGAATTCTGGGTACTCATGGATGTAAAGATGGGAACAATAGAACCAGAGCCTCCAAAAGTAAGGAGAGACGGAGGAGGGTAATGGCTGAGAAACTATCTCTTGGGCACCCTGTTCAATATTTGGGTGATGAGATCCATAAAAGCCCAACGGTCAACATTACATAATATACCCATGTAACAAGCCTGCACGTGCACCCCACGATCTAAAATTAAAAACATTCTTATTTCTTGTCTAGCTCTTAGAAGGGGTAAAGATTCT